ATTAAAGACACACAATTATTATGATTTCATGGTGAAAACAATATCCCATTAGTGAACACTGCATTAGTGAATGTTGAATATGACATATTTAGGCACCCTTTAATGTAATGTGAAAACCATACATAATTTCTTCAAAAGTTTAGTTCATTATGAGTGAAGTGGAGAATCTTATATTTTTTAGAATAATAGTATTCTAGCATATATAAATGTATTTTTATATATATAAGTGGTTCTAACATTGTTATAATTCTGAAGTCCCATTTTTGAAACTGATAATCTAAACTTTCAAGAAGCCCTAGATCTATTCTTAGTATAAAGATTGACAAAGGATGCTTTTAACATTGAAAATTTAATTTATTTAGAGTGTAGGAATGGCTAGGAAAAATATTATTGCTATTTTCACTTGGCCCCATGCATTTCATATGAATCTCTACTTCCATCAATTTTTACCAATATTCCACCCTTTTCTCCACACAACAATCATTGTAGGACTTTTTCTTTTATAGCCTCAAGTGTGACTGAACAAAAGATCCCTCTTGCAAATAATGTTCTAGATATTACTACTAAAAATGGATTACTTTATATACTTCAAAAGTGATGCAAATTGTTTTTTCGAGATATGGCTAAAACTCTATATTGTGATTTTGATGTCCTCTCTCGATCTTAATTTGCTTCTTTAGCCTCATGACATCTTCAATGGCAGTGAGGACGTTCTTGTTTGCCTCCAGGAGCTCGTCCTATTTTTGATGCAAGAGGAGCACATCCATGATTGATTCTCCAGGTTTTTTCTGCTCACCAAGACTTTGAGAGCTCAACCAAGTAAGCCAAAGCCACCATGGTTTTACTTCTTCATGGATGCCTTGCTATAAACCTGGAAAAAACAATGCAAAATTACTGAGTTCTTCCAAAGTAGAAAACAGAGTCCATCCATGAAGATAAAACCAGAGAACACAAAATTGCATCCTTTACCAGCTTTTGATAAAAAGGAAGAAGTAAATGAATTCAATCATGGAAGCATATCTTCTTGGAACAAAGAAAAAAATAAACTTTCAATGCTATGTAAAGCAAAAAGATCAACTTCTGAAGAAAGAAGCAAAGAATTCAATCCAATGACACCATAAGCAAATGAATTCAATCCATATGATATGCATGAAAGCAAAAAGAAAACTATGAATCCAAGGCAAACTACATAAGCAAACATTATACAATCAATGCCAAGAAAGAAGAAAATTTAAAAAGGCAAGCAAAGAAAAACAAAAAAATACCTTCGATCTGGAGTTTGGATCCTGGAGCAGCCACAGCAAACAATCCACTGCCATAAACTGCCAATCATCCAAAGATCTAGCCACATTGCACAGCGCCTCCACAACAGAGCCGTAGCTTGCGATTGCGATCCTGCCAAGCTTGTGGTAGCGGATTGTCCTCAGCAATCCGATCCTCGGCACCAAGCTCCCATTCACGAGCCCGCCCCACATCCCCAGAAGATCCACCAAGAACTCGGGCCAGCAGATCGCCAGCAAGAATTCCTCACGCAACGCAAAGCAATTCACTACCTAGAGTGACTAGCATTGGAGCTGGCTCGCCCATTCCTTCGCCTTACACTCCACACCCTCACCGGAGGCCAAGAGTTCCTTGTGATACCCTAATTTCCGATCAACGGTCCTCTAGGTCGTCCCATACTACGCCACCCACATCCTTGGCTCCTACACCATGAATGTTGAGCGGTATGGCATCCATGCCATGCGGTACCACGCGGTACCTGTGCTGGCCGAGCTTGCCGAGGGAACGCTAACATAGGTCGAGCAGCTCGTCGCTGTGCAGTGCCTCAGCCACCTCGCCAGCTATGACTCCACGTTCCCGGGGGTGTCCTCAGGTGGCATATTGCAGCTGGCAACATGTCATATGCCACGTGTCCAAAGGACAGTGGTGTGGAACCCGAGTTTCAAGGCCTTGGGCCACTAAACAAAGAAACAGTGCCAAACTCCTAAAAATGAAGCCAAAAAGTGATGGAATTGGACCACGGAGCAACTCTCGAACATACAACCCAAGGAGCGAAGGGACAGGAACACAAAGCAACTTAGAACAATCCTGGAGTATTTAACATCTTAATGCCAGGACCAACATGCAAAACAGAGCCAAACGAAGTCTAGCGTTATTTCAGCGTACCAATGGCCTAACGCGAGGATATGGGTACTCCACTAGCTAGCATGGTGTAGAGCTTGGGCTTAGACGCAAGCCGAACACAGAACAAAGACAGCTACATAAGTAGGAGCTAGACTATTCTGTAAATATGCCAAATGAGCAAATCTAAACACTTTCCATAAATACCATTTGAGACCAAAATAAGACTAACACAAAAGGCATGATAGCGAAGGTGTTTAGCAGACATGGTAAACTATCATCTAGCATTATTGAGGGACTAATCTCAATACACGAGGGTTCTTGTCAAGCTAACACAAAACAAAGCAAACGAGAACTAACAAGCCAAGTATGCTCAGTTAAATAGACATTTAGGAATTCTTTCCTTATGCTCATTTGGCCAAATACAGATGCTAAACCCAGTTTATTAACACTTAAACAAAAGGGACTGATAAAGGGTCTAACAATACTGACCTCCTACCGTCGTGGTAGTAAGAAAAGAGTGTCCATAAGGACTGGTTGACAGGTAACTTTCGATACTCGAAATCATATTCGCGACACAAATGGAAAATCATCACAACACCCCTCAAAATAAAAAGAATGATTGTTATGTAAAGATATAGGTGGATTATTAGTTAAGCTTGAAGATGGAAGTGGAGATTAATATAAGAGGCATTCAAGACCAAAAGTAAACTTCTTTTGAACCATTACAACATACACGAAGAATTAAATTTTGTAACAGTAAAATTTCTCTAATTAATATATTACATTTCAATCTCAAGAATGCATTTTATTATAACATAGTAATATATTGAATCATAATTGTTAGTCTTGGTAATTACAACTTACTATTAGAGACAAATGGCTATAGGGTTCTAAAAGCTAAAAACTCTATATATATATATAGATATAGATATATAGTTGGTTTGTTATATATAATAATGGCAAACACACATAGACACATGAGCATGCCTTTTTGCAAGAATACCTTTCAATCATGAAAACATATATAAATTTGATTCTTTGATTCATCCATACCATATATATTATAAATTTATACTCCTTGCAAAGATACAACATATTGGATATATATATAAAAAAATTACTTATCTTTATAATATTTTAGTAAATTACAAAATCTGTGGAAAGTTTTATGAAGTGAATTTGTTAGTGCTTTCTCCTATGCTATCCATTTTTTCTTTTCTTTTACTCTAGACTATTATTTTGAAAGTAATAGAAGTATTTCTATCAATAGTAACAATGATTTCTATATTCCCAAGTGAATAATAAAGACTAAAATTGTAATATAGAGATTGTGGTAGTGAAAATAAATTAATATTTTCACATTTTTGTAAGATAAAATTACTCATAGAGTTTTTGTCTTATTTGCTTCTTATATCTGTAAAACTCTAAAGAATGAATGAGTGAATCATTGTTTCAAATTTTTTATATATTTATAGTCAATTGTTGAAATGTTAAATTATCGAAATGTACTATAGAAATTTCAAGTTACCCATAGAATTTTTCAGGTTATTTTGGTTTCAAATAAAAATGGGAATATTGAAGTTCACATTTTGGACGAACTTCTAATTCTAGAAACTACTCAATCAATATTTTATTGTATAGGTCACATTAGAAATTAAAATTTTTCTCCATGAATATATTTAAAAAATAAAATTTTTTCTAAACCATTGACAATTAAAAAAATGAATTTGAAATTCACCAAAGAATAACATCTTTCTTACATAATATTTCCTTATAAGAGTTATAGTTGATTATATTGACTAACATTGACTTGAGCTAAATTGAGCTCAACTTATGAACTCAAACTCAAGTTTAGACCATCCCCCTGATGCACAACCTCTTTGCAATAGTGCATAGACTTTGCAAGTTTAACAACGCCACCCATTCAGTCTCTAGTTTTTTTCTAGCACAAGATGAACATGGTTCCATCTAGTATCTTGTAGACGCCTTTGCCAATGTGGCCTTCACATCCAGGTGACTGATGCTGTGCAAATGTAGGTGCTTCATAGCACTGCCATGCTACAATTGCTCGGTTAGCATCTTCCCCATGAATGTCAATGCAAGGCTCTGGAGGAGTTCTCCCGCTCTACCACATGCCGCTCTACCACAGCTATTTACATCCTCCAGTCATAAGCAGTTTATGAATGAATGAATGATTCGTCTCACACAGCTCTATTTGGATGAACATCAAGACACTCTCAATGCTAACTAATCTCAAAGCTTTCCTCCTGCAGTGAGAAAATTTTGCACACCATAGCCTCTTGATATCATAGATACATACTAGTGCCAATTGGAATGCTTTACAGCATAAAAACAGCCGTAAAGTCTTTTGAAAACTTTAGCTGAAATCTCCAAAACAAAATGGAAAGAGAAGTTTTTTTCTGTCTGGAAGAACACACTCTTGGACCATCTCCAAGTAGCGAAAAACACTTCCTACAAAATACTCATGCCTGGCACTTGCTGCTACATGTGGTGGTGCCAAGGGCCTGGCTAAATGCGTCTTGGGCTTCTAGTTTCCACCCTTGTGTGTCTACTTGGGATTTGCCAGACATGGTAACCTCGTTTCCAACTTGAAAACGTTCATTCCAAATCTTATAGCAATTCCAGTCAGTACAAATCCATCGTCGTGAGCACCATTCCGAAAATAAGAATTTCTTTGCGTTTTGTGCTTGTCAAATCCAGCCGCTTGGTTTTTTGCATTTCAAACACGTAGCGAGCGAACCCATTAAACCCGGAGTTAATTTAAGCAAAGCGTTTACTTGGCTCCCAAGGCGCGAGCACAGTTAAATAGCGGCCAGGGATCCTCGTTTAGGGATCCTTTTCTTTCATGGCGTCGATCAACGAGGAAGTACTCACGATCTGCGGCCCGCCGGAGCTCGCCCTCCAAGGTATGGCGATCGATCCTCTCCCACTCAAGGGCCTCACCGAGAATCTCGCCGACACTTACGTCGCATCCGGCTCGGCCTGCCTCGATTTCTTCTTCCACATCGTCCCCGACACCACCGATTCCTCGCGCGTCAAGGAACTGGCCACCACGGCCTGGAAAGAAGATCCCTTGACGACTCTCAAGCTCATCTTCCAGCTCCGGGGGATCCGTGGCAGCGGCAAATCGGACAAGCTCCACTTCTATGACGCTGCATGCTGGCTCTACGATCACCATCCCCGGACGCTGGCCGCCAACATCGCCAAGGTCGCCCCGGTCGGCTACTTCAAGGATCTCCTGGAGCTCGTCCAGCGGATCCTGGAAGGCGAGGTGGTGACGGCGCAGAGAATGCGCGAGAAGGAGGAGTGGAAGAACAAGAGACATGATCGGCGGTGGCGCTCGAGGATCCGCCGGAGCGGCCGGGACAGATGCGCAAGGATCACGGACAGAGCAAGGATCGCTACGCAAGGCGACCGGGAGGAGCGAGTAGCGGCGAGCATCGCCAAGGACAAGGCCGAGAAGCAAAAGGCTTCCGAGCTGCGCAAGGAGAGATCGCTGGCGCTGGCTCGCCGCGCGATCGACAGGCTCGCCAAGGATCCCGAGTTTGCAGCGGTGTACGCCGGCGTTGCTCGCGTCTTCGCCGACGCGCTCGCCAAGGATCTGGAGGCGTACAAGCAGCACAAGAACAATGCGAGGATCAGTCTCGCGGCGAAGTGGTGTCCATCACTCGACTCCGCCTATGACAAGCAGACGCTGCTGTGCGAGGCGATCGCGTGCAAGCTCTTCCCGAAGAACAGCACCCCCGAGTTCGCGGAGCTGGACCAGAGGCAGTACGCGTACCGAGCTCGCGACAAGCTGCGCAAGGAGGTTCTGGTTCCACTGCGCAAGGCGCTGGAGCTCCCGGAGGTGTACATGAGCGCGCAGAGGTGGGACGAGCTGCCATACAACCGGGTGGCGTCGGTGGCGATGAAGACGTACTCGAAGATCTTCACCAAGCACGACGAGGAGCGGTTCAAGCAGTACCTCGAGGACGTCAAGTCCGGCAAGGAAAAGATCGCGGCCGGGGCGGTTCTCCCGCACGAGATCCTCCGGGCTGCTGTCACCAAGGATGGCGCGGAGAGAGGCGCGGCGGAGCTGCAGTGGAGGGCGATGGTGGACGAGCTGCGGCGGAAGGGGAGCCTGGAGAACTCGGTGTCCGTCTGCGACGTGTCGGGGAGTATGAGCGGGACGCCGATGGAGGTTTGCATCGCGCTGGGGATGATCACGGCGGAGCTGAGCGACGAGCCGTGGAAGGGTCGGCTGATAACTTTCAGCGACGAGCCGGCCTTCCACGAGATCCGGGGCGAGACGCTGGCGGAGAAGTACGAGTTCACGACGAGGATGCCGTGGGACATGAACACCGACTTCCAGAAGGTGTTTGATCGGATCCTGGAGCGAGCCCGCGAGTTTAACGTCCCGCCGGAGAAGATGGTGAAGAGGCTCTTCGTCTACAGCGACATGGAGTTTGACGAGGCCAGGGGGAAACACTACGGCGGCGTGTACAATCCTCGGCCGGATTGGTGGGGTGGCGAACAGGCGCCAGGTTGGGAGACGGATCATATGGCGATCAAGCGCAAGTTCAAGGAGGCCGGGTACGTGGAGCCGCCGCAGATTGTCTTCTGGAACTTGAGGGACTCGGAGAGCGTCCCGGTGCTCAAGGACGAGCCCGGCGTGGCGCTCGTCTCGGGCTTCTCCAAGAACATACTCAAGATGTTCCTGGAGAACAGCGGGGCTATCGATCCCATGCTCATCCTCCGGAGTGCCATCTCGGACAAGATCTACGAGGACATGGTGGTGGTGGATTGAGAGCAGAAACGATTATGACGAAGTTTGAAAAGTTTGGCTTTGTTTGGTTTTCTTTCTCTCAAAAGTTTTTGACTTTGATCCTAAAGCTTTCATAGAAACATCTTGGGAGTGCCGAAAAAGTTTGTAGAATGTAGCTAACTATGAGGATTTAACGATTAAAATGTAATATAAACGAACAAAAATGGTATTTTGCAAAATTTCACCAAGAGCGTCAGTATCTGGGAGTTTGTTTATGCTGTTTAACACTCGAAACAAACATCTTGTTTGCATCCTCTATACTGATTTGGCTCGATTCCACCTTGAGTAGCAGCGGAGTCAAGGCCTCGAGGATGGAGTCATTGGGATTGCCATGGAAGGGCGGGACTCCACTCTTGGGATGGTAGAGATACAAGCTCGCGTTGTCATCGATCCACACCATGAGACTTTCCTGCTCCCTTTTCAGTTTCCTCAAATCCTTCACCACTTGGCCACTCACCCAATCTGTATCGCTCCCCGTGAAAATGGCAGAGACTAATTCTCCAAGCTGCTTACAATCTTCTTCACGTACGATGCGCCCGAGGCACTGAAGACCACGACCTCGTAAACCTGTGACATATCTCTCAGGAACTTGTCCAAACCCGGTCGCTTCGTCACGCACTGGAGGAGATTGTCATCGTCGTGGTCGGACACGCAGACAAGCGTGTTATCAAGATCCAATACCAATGTTTTCACCATAATAGGATTAGGTATTTTCTACAACCATGATTTTTCCCACATAATACTCTAGTTAGGCTCAAATAATCAGGAATGCTTGCTTAGAGAAACTATTATTCTTCATCGACTTCGCCACCTTCCTCGCCTTCTCCAGCCTCGGGCTCTGGCGGCTTTGGTATGGGCGGGAGCTCCAAGCTCTCCGGCGTGAGCCCCTCAAACTCTTTCAACACTGGAGGCGGTAGCGGTGCCACGAAAGGCGTGTGTTTCATCCCCCAGCCGATGTAGACGCTGCTAAACCCGGTTGGAGTGACCACGGTACAGGCACCCGGCCAGATTGCCGACCTCAAACCGAGAACTTGGTGCTTGAGGCTCTTGTGCGTCGAGCTGGTGATGAGAGACCACGGCTTCCAGCCTTGCTGCGGGAGATCTTTGTCTGTGTCGATGGAGGTGAGAGCTCCCGGGATCTCTTCCAGCTCCTCGGGGCTCGGTGGCTGCTCTTCCTTCTCCTCGCCTTCTTCTTCCTCGGCCTCCTCCGCCTCTTCCTTTTCCGGGACGAAGAGTGTCGTCCGGCCTTGTAAGTTGAGGTACTTGTTCTTGTGTACCCAGTTTTCTAGCGACTGGAGCTCGGCCGTGGCAAGAGGTTGATACTCCTCGTCCGGTTCCAGTGGCCCTCCTTCGCCACCTTCTTCACCTTCTTCTGGAGCCTGATGGAGAAACGAGAAAAAGAATAGAGCATTAGAATGTAAGCCATGCTTTTGAAGCTCACCTTGTAAAAACCTTTGGGAGCAATCTCGCAAGTGGCTGATATCCGTGCAATCTGTGCGCGCAAATAGTTCTCTTCGACTCCAGGAAACGGTGGATATGCCGAAACTTCAGCCTGGTCAGATTACTTGAGAAGAGAGTTTATAGAGGTGAGAAGGAAAAGCAAAAGCAAAGAGTGCACCTTCAAGTTTCCGGTGAAAAACTTCTTTATCTGTCTCGCGGTTTTGATCTGGAGTGGTGTCACGTCTGGAAGCCTGTAGAGTTCGTCGCCTGGCCGGCTGCAAACCCAGTACGTATTTGCGTTTGGTCCAATGCCTGCTTCCACTGGAATGGTTTCCACTGGCCTTCCCCACGGCCCCTTCTTAGCACCCTCTTCTCCTTCCTCGCCACCACCTTCTGGCTCTGCCGCTGGTTCGCTCGTCGTCTCAAACACGAAATAGTTGCTAGACACAAAATAGTTCAATCCGGAAAAGCTTGCTCGTAAGCTTTACCTGTTGATGCCGAAGAACTTGCCAAAGAACTTCATTTTCGAGACGATCTTGGTGCCTCCCAGCTGCCGCATCGTCAAAACAATCTGGTAGTTTTCCGCTCGGCCCAGCCCGGATCCAATCGCCTCGAAAAACGCACTGTCCGAGAGGAAGTTGTCCACTGCGTATTCGGGGCCTTCTCCTTCTTCCTCCTCCGGCTCCTCTTCTGGAGGAGGCTCCTCGGACTCGGGATCGACAGCCGCTGGGGGAGGCTTCTTTTCGGGAATGCTATGAAAGAAAAACAAGAGCAAAAGAACAAACTTTAGACCTTGCAAACAAGCACTGGAACAAAGGAAGAAACGATGAGCTCACCAATGGAAAAGTTCTTTGCAAGTTATTCTCCCCAAAGACTAGCGGAGGAAATACCTCTGGAGGCCGATAAACTGCTTGACAAACTTCTCGTCTTTGTCATCCTTCCACGAGCGAGGGACTTTGGGGCCTTCCTCGGGGACGAATCGAGTCTGCTTGAGCAGCAAGCTCGTCTCTAAAATGTCCACGGCATTCTCTGGCTGCGTCACAACGATCTACAAAACAGAGAAAAAGAATTGGGGCAAAATCGATCCGCCCGAGCTTTACTTACCAGTTGGATCAGTTGTGCGAGATGCGCAAACACAGAATCTCCATTCGTGGCGGATTTCCTCTGCAAATACGCCAGGCATTGCTCCGTCGTCATCTTCTTCCCCATCTCGCCACACCCAAACAAGAAAAAAATGAAGAACCCTAAATTCGAACAGTTTAAAATGAGAATATTCTTATAGCCGACTAGAATATGCTGTTTTAAGATTCTCTTTGTTTTCCGAGCCAGGGTTTCGACCTCGCGACCATTTTTTTAGGGCTCGTCGATTGGCAGAGGTTTTTGATGTCTCGGCAGCTGGCCGCGCTCCTCGCAAGAAAACGAATCCTCTCGGTAAGTCTCGCGCGGCGCAGCCATTCTCGATCTCATTTCCCTCTCCTCGGGCCAGGCATTCAGGGAGAGTCGCGGCATTCTGGTGGATAATCCGTGTCTCGGCGGCATTCTAGAGCACCGGCTGGGTTTTGATCCTATCCCGACGCAGCGGTCTTTCGGAAGCTGGATTGGCAGCGGCGGCGCGTGCGGATTACGGCGCGGCCGTGATTTGAGAGGAGCGCACAAACAACAGCGATACCAAGGTAGCAATCTCGGCACTCGGCAATTCTATTCGAGTAAAGCATCGGAAAGAGGTTGGAATTGAGTTTGATGAAATTAATTGTTAGCAATAGCGTTAATACTCTTTGTTCTTCCAGGCTTCAGTAACTTCTATCCAAAGAACAAGGTTCCAAAAGATGGTCCCGGGGAGAAGTCAAACCAAGGTATCAAACTTCTACTCTGGATAACTTACGTTTTGCCTTTCTTCCAGGAAAATCGAAACCCCGAGCACGGGATCTCGGAGATCTCAGAACAAGAATTGTATCCTTGGTTGCTGTCGGCTTATCAGTGGCGGCCTTGTGGAACCTCTATACCGTTTCTAGAAGTGAAGATGTCTCGGAGGTTCTTTTCTCCTTCTCCATTTTCTTCTCTTCGTTTCTCACAGTATACACTTTTTCTTTGCAGATTACTTACCATCAATTCCGATCTGAGCTCTTGGAGCAGTGTCTCGTAGACCATGTTGTCGTGGTTAACAGGAGCTTGGTCCGCGTTTTTGTTCGGGACCCAGCTTCTAGTGACGACACTCAGAGTCATTGCCGACACTTTTTTCGAATCGGCAGTGCTGATGGTTTCGAGCAGCAACTGGAGAGGGCGCAAGCCAGCCTCGGGTGGGACTCGCACGATTACGTCCCAGTCATGTATCAAACCGAGTTGAATTGGCGGCGAGAGCTTACGAACATGGCACCGATTCTCTTCCTCTTTGCGTGGGTTGGATTTTCCGTCTGGAAATGGAAGAGAGCTGGCACTGGGCAGGGGACGGATAGCAATGGTGGTCGCAGCATTTTTACCATGGGAAAGGCTCAGGTGGCAAGGATGGATCCAGGCGTCAAAGATAAGGCATGGTAGTATATTGTTTTACTCTGGGAGAGCTTACTGACTTTACATTTTAACTATGCAGGTCATGTTCGCGGACGTAGCCGGATGCGACGAAGCCAAAGCAGAAGTGATGGAGTTCGTTCACTTTTTGAAGAGTCCCAAAAAGTACCTCGACCTCGGTGCAAGAATCCCCAAAGGTGCTCTCTTGGTCGGACCTCCTGGCACCGGCAAAACGCTGCTAGCAAAGGCTACTGCAGGTGAAGCCGGTGTGCCATTTCTTTCGATCTCCGGTTCTGACTTTACAGAGATGTTCGTCGGGGTTGGACCTTCTCGAGTCAGAGACCTCTTTGCTCAAGCTCGTCGCGAAGCCCCGAGCATCATCTTTATTGACGAGATCGATGCCATCGGCCGCGCAAGAGGTGCTGGTCTTGGGTCAAACGATGAACGTGAAAACACCCTCAACCAGCTCCTGGTTGAAATGGACGGCTTTGCAACTACAGAAGGAGTAGTCATACTCGCTGGGACAAACAGGCCAGATATTCTCGACAAGGCGTTGCTCAGGCCTGGACGCTTTGATCGTCAGATTGCTTTAGACAGGCCGGATGTGAGAGGACGAGAACAGATACTTCGGGTGCATCTCAAGAAACTGAAGCTGGACAAGGAGCCTCAGTTTTACTCACAACGAGTTGCTGGTCTCACACACGGCTTTGCTGGGGCGGAGATTGCCAGCGTGTGCAATGAAGCTGCTCTCATAGCTGCAAGGCGTGAGAAGTCAGAGATTTCCATGAAGGAGCTCGAAGCAGGAGTCGACAGAGTTATTGCCGGCATCGAGAGAAAGAACCGGGTACGTACTATGGGTTTTCTTGTCAAAGTTTTCTCGCGAGATAACACAGTTTCAACACAGGTAGTTAGCAAGGACGAACGGAGGACTGTTGCTTACCACGAAGCTGGTCATGCCGTCGCCGGGTGGTTCTTAGAGCACGCGGAGCCGCTACTCAAAGTTACAATAGTTCCACGAGGGAGTGCGGCGCTGGGCTTTGCGCAATACGTTCCCAACGAGGACTTACTCATGACCAAGCAGCAATTCAATGACATAATCTGTATGGCTCTTGGAGGGCGAGCAGCGGAGGAGGTAAGAACAAACTTGGAGGAAAAAGGTCCTGATGTGTCTCTCTCCAGGTTCTGCTGGGAAGGATCACCACGGGTGCGCAGAACGATCTGGAGAAAGTCACGCTGATGGCCTACGCGCAGGTGGCCGAGTATGGATTCAGCGACAAAGTTGGGCTTGTCTCCTTTCCCCGCAAGTCACAGACGGAGCTGCTCAAGCCTTTTAGCAACAATACGAGCAAACTCATGGACGAGGAGGCGAGGGCGATTGTGAGTGATGCCTACGCTCGCACCCGAGCACTGATTGACAAGCACAGGGACGGGGTTGCCAAGATCGCGGAGCTGCTACTTGAGAAAGAGGTCCTGCGGCAGGAGGACCTCTTAGCAGTGCTTGGCGAGCGTCCATTCGCGCAGGGAAGCCGCAATAACTATGACATATACAGGCACGGATTTAAACCAGAAGAAGCAAATGATCCAATGGTCGCATCCTAAGCTTTTCATACCGATACATTTGTATATTAAAATCATACTATGCAAATCCTAAGAGCTCAAAGTCAACAAGAGTCAATAAAGGTCAATAAAAAATAAGACTGTACCTTTATTGACTAGCAATAACTTAGATCTATACATTGAGTATTTCTACTTTAACTTAATTGGCAGTCCTTTAGTCGGCATTGCAACTGGGGTATAGGAAACTGGTTCATCGGGTTCCACTAGGGTCCACTCATATCTTGTGACCAAGTGGTGAAGAAACACCATCACCTGCATTTTCGCAAGTTGGATGCCCGGGCAGATCCGGGGTCCTCCACCGAATGGAATATATGTGTATGGAACCGGTCCCGTGCCTTCTGCAAATCGGGATGGCTCAAACTTGAAAGGCTCGGCAAAAAACTCTGGTTTTCTGTAGCTCCGGTAGCCCGATATTAAGAGCTGCAGCAAAGAGATTACATTCTTTCCTATAGGTAAACAAAAAAGATGGTATTTACCTGCCAGCCTTTTGGGATGGTGAAACCATCCATCTCGACATCTTTGAGAGCTTTGCGAAGGATGCCAAACCCGGTCGGCATCACTCGCAGTGTCTCCTGGATAACCATCCATGTGTATTTCATCTTGCGGAGGTCGTTCTGGTTGAGTTCCTCCCCAGGCTGCTTGGCTGATAGTATATCCATGTGTTCTGGCATAGATGATCATGGTAAGTTTCGATCAAAAATCTTCGACAAGTTTGCTTACCTCTGCGAAGCTCCTGGTAGCAGGCTGGATTTTGAGCCAGGCACTTGAGGGTCATGGCTAGCGAGCTGGAACTGGTGTCATGGCCGGCGAAGAGCAGCGATAGGATGTTGTCTTTGATCTGGTCGTCGTTCATGAGCTTGCCATTGTCGAGCTTGGTGCTGAGAAGCAGTGACAGGAGATCTTGCTGGCAAGACGACCCATTCTCGAGCTCGATCCTTCTCCGCGCGATATACTTGTCAAACATCTTGTAGAGCTCCACCCGACCCTTCTTGGCGTGGTGGAAGTTCGTCCAGGGGAGATCGAGCGGCAAGGAGATGAGCCCCTTGATGATCTTGGCCAGCGGCTCGAGCAGCTCCAGCTGTTCTTCTTCATCACTCACGCTAAGGAATGCACAACAGGTGACCGAGAAGAGAGCCTGTTTGATGAGAGAATAAGCCAGCACGGTCTCCCCATGCTTCCAGTGCTTGTGGAGGTGATCTTGAATCATGTTGCTCGTAGGCACGACTTGGCTCTGGACGGCTTGAGCACTCAGAAAGGTCATGAGCACGTCACGGAAGCTCTTGGCCTCCTCTCCAGACATGAAGTTTATGGCGTTTGATCCAACCAGCGTCTTCATCGGGCTAGGCCACGCAGTCTCCACCAAGAGGTTGTGGTTTGAGAAGACAAGCTTGTTGCCTTGGGGAGGACTGACCATCACCATTGGGGAGCCAAACAAGGAGGTCTTGAAGATCTTACCGTACTTGGCTTCCCGCTGTTCGATAAACTCCCAGGGCCGGTTGCTCTTGGTGTATCGTATGAACTGGAGGGTCTCGCCGAGTAGCGGAAGGCCCAGGCTCCCAGGAGGCAGATCCATCGCTTTGAATCTTCTCCATCGCTGGAGATACGCGAGTGCTGCTGCCCCAATGCAAACAAGGTAAAGTACCAGCACAGGCACCATAACTGCGCCTAAAGCTATCTTTTTGCAATTTACATATCGATAGTCGAAAGTGCTATCGCTCTGTTAAAAATGCTCAACTTCTTAGAGTGTAGATCCCGATAGGACATTGTTGACTTGATTTTCGTGTTTGAGTTTCTTACCTAGCCATGACAAAATGCCATCGAATATTGTAATTTGCCAAGCCGCTTGTACGTGAAACATGGAGAACTTGGCCAAGCACATAAAAAAGCCGTGTCAAGCGCCTTTAAGTTATTAAAACAAGCAGTCAAACTTTGTCATAAGGCAATGGAGTCGCCATCCACTTGACAAGCCAAATTTGCCACCGTCGGGAAATCTCCAGTCTAATGCCTGTAGATATTGACTTGATTTTAGCCTAGCCATGACAAAATGCCATGGAATATTGTAATTTGATTCCATAATCAAACACCATTAGGAGTCTTGAGGGAATAAAAGTCTTTTAATTTGAAAAAGAGGAAGCAAGTTCTAAGCAAAACATCGAAAACTTGACCAAGCAATTTCTGCGTAAAACATGGGAAACTTGGCCAAGCAACTTCTAGGAACTTGAAAAAGCGTGAAACATGGAAAACTAGCAACATGTCGCCTTTAAGTTAGCCAGACTTCATAAATTCTTAAAACAAGTCTTTAAAATAGTCAAACTTTGTCGTGGTAGCGAGTCGCCATCCAGTCCAGTCTAATGACAGTGTAGATTCCGAACATTTTTGACTTGGCTTTACTTTTTATTGGGACAAAATGCCATGGAACGACTCCTTTTGGGGGGATGCCACCCAGCAGGGTCGATGCACACCCCAGCCGCCCGACGGAGTCCACCGGCGAATATTGTAATTTGACACAACAATCAAAGTCATGAACGAATAGAAGTCTTTACATTTGACAATGAGGAAGCAAGTTCTACGCAAAACATGGAGAACTTGGCCAAGCAACTTCTATGTAAAACATGCCAAGAAACTTCTACGTAAAACATGCCAAGAAACTTCTAAGTAAAATATGGAGAACTTTAAGTTTTAGTAAACAGTCAAACTTTCTCATAAGCATGAGGTGGTAGCCGAGGAGCAACCACAGCTCGCAATGGAGTCGCCATCCAATTGACCAAGCCGAAAGCCTCGTCCATGGAAGCATCTTTCCCACCGCCGCCGTTGGGAAAGCTCCAGTCGAAGCCATGGACGAGATTTGACAAAGCCAACTCGACCGTTTTCAGTCCCAGCTGAAGCCCAGGACACGACCGTCGCCCCGAGCCGAATGGAAGGAGCTCGAAGTCCTGGCCTCGGACGTCCATGCCCTTCCCCGCCCCCTCGAGGAACCTCTCGGGAGAGAACCGAGTGGGATCCTCCCACACCGTTGGGTCTCTCCCAATCGCGTAGACATTGACGAGCGTGGTAGCCCCCTTTGGAACGTCGTAGCCGGCCACCTTGCATTCGTATCTTGACATGTGTGGGACGAGCAGCGCGATCGGGGGGTGGAGACGAAAGGTCTCCTTGATGATCGCGTGCAGGTAGTGGAGCTTGGGGAAATCCGATTCGTTTACCATGCGATCTTTCCCTACCACCGTGTCGAGCTCGTCTTGGGCCTTCTTCAATGCAAGTGGGTTTCGAAGTAGCTCCGCCAGGATCCACTCCACTGTTGTGATGGATGTGTCGGTTCCCCCTGGCAGCAAATCCTGATACACAATTGTCAAGAGCTGTTCTTGAAAAACAAATACTCACTGAAAGCACAGCTTTGATGTTGTCCAAGTCGGTTCGAGAGTCTCCATGGTTGAAATAGGAGAGAAGGATGTCTATGAAATCTCTAGGCTTGGCTAGAGCATCGTGACCAACCTTGTGTTCGTCGATGATCTCCTGGAGGAACCTGTCCTGGCGAGCATGAAGCCTCTTGAAACGAGGGATGTTCCAGTCGATCCACTTGAATGCACTGGGAATGTACTCGCTCACGTTGAAACTCCCGGCCACCTGCAAGATCTCCTCCACAATCCCCCGAAACTCCCGAGCCTTGCCCTGTGAGTCCGCGCCAGCCGGCCCGAAGAAGGCGCGGTCCATCAGGATTCGCGTCATGACATTGAAAGTAAAGTCGGTGAGGAAGCTCTTGATTTGCACCACCTCCTTGCTCGCCGATTTCGCCAGCAATCCAGATACCATGCCGGACAGCTCCTCCACTCTCACCCACGAGAAGGAGTCGATCCGCTTGGCCGTGAAGAGCTCGGTGGAGCACAGCTTCCTCATCATCTTCCAGTGATCGCCATAGGGGGCGAGGCCAATGTTGTGGAAGTTGTAAGCAGCGTACTCACCGACGAGGAGGTATGGCCTCGACGCAAATGCGAGGTCGTGGGTCTTGAGAACTTCCTTGGCCATGGCTGGACTGGACGCCACAATCACTGGTACTGTGCCAAATCGGAGGTGCATGAGTGGCCCGTGGGCTTGCGACAGCTTTTGCAAGGATCGGTGTGGCAGTGTGCTCAGGAGATGGAGATGGCCGATCAAAGGCAAGCCCCGCGGACCTGGTGGTAGTCGTACCTTGAAAGAGCGGTATTGCCTCCATAGCGCTCCAGCCAGGAGGATCAAGCCCAGGTAGAGCGCAAGATCGAAGAGTTCCATTCTAGCTAGAACTCGGAAGTATTGGATTCAATGTAAGACCTAGATTTATATAACGGTGGTGTACTGGAGATGGTGTTTGAAATCGATCTTTCATGAGCCTTTTGAAAGTGTTTGATTACGAAGGTCTTTATTCAAGATCAAAAGGAAAATACAGCGACGCTTTCACGCTTTCATGGCAACTTTCAAGGCTTTCTTACACAGACTCTTTGACCAGCTAGAGATCTCTTTGTCAGCAAAGTTGCGAGTGAAGAAGACGTCATTGAGCAGCTTTTCCTTGTGAGTTTGCGCCAGCCGGATGTGTATGTCGACGCCCCTGCTCTGATCGATCGATTTCGGCTCTGGGGCTGGAGCTGGAAACAGCGCCACAAACGAAGGCGGCAGAGCAGTCGGAAGAAGGCAAAGCTGAGCCAATGCGCCACCCCGCCAGCCAAAATCAATGCCATAGACTGGAAACCTCCCCAGAGATGTGGAGAGCAAACCTCGCTTCCAGTGAAGTGATGCTGGCAGTGCCATGGGAGAGTTTAACTCGAGCCAGTCCACGGCACTGCGCATGCAAAGGTGGTCGGAGCTAACGATCTTCTCGTGGATCAGCTTGGCAGCAAAGCTCTTGTCACTCGCGACTTGTCCCGCAGTGGCAGCGTATGCCTGGCATGGAATGAGGGCATTGCCAAAGTAGTCTTCGGGGATCTGGGGCGCAAATCTACCTTTGCTTCGCAAGTTGATGGGCAGCATGTAGGAAGTATCAAGATGCCCGGGAATGGCTTTTGCTGCGGTTATAGACGACCAAAGCAATGCCGAGACAGTCTCAAAGGTGGTGGCTCTGCCATAGCCGAACTTGGTGGAGCTTTCGATCTCTCGGGCGCAGGAATCGATGGCCTCTTTACCCATCCGCAGCACCATCGATTCGTGTTCTTCCGCCCTTCCAAAGTCGAAGCCGAGTGCATCTTGCTGTGCGTTTTCTACGACGAAAGGCACCGGGGCATCCACGACTGGAGAGCTGCGAGCTTTCAGCACCGCGGTTGTGAAGTCTTGGCGAGTTCTTGGGTTGATCGGCGAGACCCCACGGTGGATCTCACTCCATCGCGTGAGAAATTTGACGAGGCTGTACCCGTCCATGACCATGTGTAGAAAGTGGAAGCCAATGGCCACTCCTCCACAGCGAAACGTTGTCACCTGGACTTGCATCAATGACATCTGGGAGAGATCAGCATGATCACCAGAAAGCGAGAAATCGACCGAAATTGGGCACTGCCTGAGGTCCGACCACTCGTCGAGGCTCGCATCGCTCCTGGATTCAATGACGTTCACACCTTGGGAGTTGACATTCACCTCAAGCTTGAAAGGTGCCTCGCCGTGGCAAATCCGGCCAGCGAGCACAGGGAACTCGGCCAGTGCTTTGGACAGGGACGACTTGAGGCCTTGGTGGAGCTCTCGCTCGCCATGATGCGGAGAGACGCAGTCGCGGAAGAAGAACACAAGCTCATGGTACTCCGGCCTTGGGATCCAATTGATGAGGTCGAGATTGGTGAGCTCATAGTTCCAGCCAGGGGACGATGGGATTGCTGGAGTTACCAAGTGAACCTGGGACTTGATAGGCTTATCCATCACTTGGGTACCTTCCACAGCAGTGCAAATCAGGCTGTCAGAATTTCTTATCTATCTATATGTTGTTTTGGTAGTCTCGTGGTGCCCGTCGTGAAGCATGACACCAAATTGTGATGCATGCACGAGATCGCGACAGAATTAGCTGGATATTCAAAAGTGGTCTGCAATTTTTTACGCTCCGATTATCAGAGTCGTTCACGACTCCCAGGGATGTGCAAGTCAGTCAAACATGCCGGCCTAACCACATGCCACACGTTGCGCATTTGTGGGAAAGATTGTTGACGAGAAAGTTTAATAGACTGGAAAGGGTGGCGAGCCTTCGCGGTCGTGTTCGTCATCGTTGCTCAAAATAAGTCCAAGTCCACATCAGATCTTTGCTTAAAACAAAGGGATGCGCTGATTCTACAATCACTAATATGATTTCATTCAGAGCATATGGAAGCAACTTCAGTGTTCATGATGTGCCATATGCAGGCTCTTCTGATTATGCTCGGATCAGTTGTAGATTGCAGAGCAGGGAATATAAGTTTCCATCCTGCCAATTGCAACGTTGTAAGGCTTTACCAAGCGTCACGAAGGAGAGTGCTCCTTGTCACGAATCTCTCCAGTTCTTGGAGGAGGTATTTCCCCTCGTGTTCCACTCTGATTACAATGCTTTTGACAGGAAACAGTTCCAGCATCCACCACCGACAGTAAAGCATATATGATAGAGGAAATGAGAAAATTGCTTGCAACCTTGGACGATGGAGAAATCAGTCCCTCTGCTTATGACACAGCTTGGGTTGCTCGGATCCCCTCGCAGTCAAACGCTACTTGCCCAGAATTCCCCGAAACACTGGAGTGGATTGCTCATAACCAGCTTCCTGATGGATCTTGGGGGGATAGGAACCACTTTCAAATTTATGATCGGGTATTGAGCACAGTCTCATGCTTAGTTGCGTTGAAAACGTGGAACCTGGGACATGACAACATCAATAAAGGTAGTTTCCATGATATAAATCAAGGTTATCTCCTAACATTTTGTGATCAGGTGAAAGATTCCTCAAGCAAAACATATACAAACTTACAAAAGATAAAGGAGATTTACTTTGTGGTTTTGAGCTCATTTTTATGACGATGCTAGAGGAAGCCAAACAGAAGGGTCTAGACATTCCAATTGATATTCCAGCTCTAAAAATTCTTCAAGGATATCGTCAAAAGAAGTTGCAAAAGTAATTAAACTCAAATTTGCTAACATAGTCAATTGAATGCACTAATTTTTCTTTACATATCCAGGATTCCATTGGAGATGGTTCATTCTATTCCAACAACAATTCTATATTCTTTAGAAGGATTGCAAGATCACATCAACTGGGAAAAGATTTTGCAGTTCATAGGCACTGATGGATCGTTTCTAAGTTCCCCTTCTGCCACAGCTTGTGTATATATGCACACAAAGGACCCCAGATGCTTGGAGTATCTCAAAGGAGTGGTTAAAAAAGTGAAAAACTCAGGTAAATTTATGTTGTTTGAGTTGATACTGTCAATATTCTAAAAACTATAACTTTAGTGCCATGTCAATATGCTATCGATTTATTTGAGCGTTTATGGATTGTTGATACCTTGGAAAGGCTAGGAATTGATCGATATTTTCAACCTGAAATTAAAAACATATTAGATTATGTGTATAAGTAAGTATGAATAGTCAATAACAATTGTCCACTAACAATTTTATGATAGATATTGGAGTGATAAAAAAGGAATTGGATGGGGGAGAGAAAGCTATCTCAAAGATATTGACGACACATCAATGGGCTTTCGTCTGCTCAGGTTGCATGGATATAAGGTGACACCAGGTAAGGTTCTTTTATTCTGTTTATTCATGCATATACATATGGAAAAAAATGCGTTTATGTAGATGTATTTCTAAATTTTATGTCAAGCGAAGACAAATTCTTCTGTTTCCCTGGCGAATCATATCATGGTGCTTCTGATATATTCAATCTATACAGAGCATCCCAAGTCGCTTTTGCAAACGACAATATCTTGACAAAAGCTAAGAACTATGCTCATAAATATTTATCACAACTTGATAAAGCTTACTTAGACAAATGGTCAGCCAAGAAAAACTTTTTCCAAGAGGTACACATCTAATTAACATTGATATAGTTCATTTTCAATCTCAATTCAGGTAGAGTTTGAGTTATCGAACCAGTGGAATTCATGTCTTCCAAGGGCGTATTCTAAATCTTATATTCACAATTACGGCCCGAACGATATATGGATAGCCAAAACAATTTACAGGTGATTTTCTTTATTTGCTTTTGAAATTCCTTAAGGAATCAACTACAGGCTGCCTTTTGTAAACAATGAGCTCTTCATAAATCTGGCAAAAGAGGACTTCAACGCATGCCAGTCAATTCACCAATCAGAAATCCAGACGCTCTTGAGGTACAATATAAAGCTCAAAATCACACCTTGATTAAGTTGTGTTTGTGTAAAGGTGGTGGGCCGCGCTCAAGTTTGGAGATCTTCCATTTTTTGGTGACAAGGTCGTGACAGCCCACTTTAGCATTGCGTCTTGCATGTTTGAGCCAGAGTTCTCGGAGTTGCGGCTCTTCTACACAAAGTACGCTCTCCTCAGCTCGACGCTCGACGATTTAGCCGATTACTATGGCAGCCCTGCACAGACCAGATGTATTCTTGAGGCTATCAGGAGGTGAGCAAAGCTTTGAAAAGCGAGAAGTTCTCATCAAACAGTGTCCACAGCTGGGATCCATCTCTCGTGAGCCACTTATCCGAGGAAGTTCAAATTTGCTTCAGTGGCTTGTACCGGACTATCAACGAAATGGTTAAAAGCGCTTCGAAGGTTCAAACTGGTTCATCCATTAATATAAGGGAACACATGCAAGAACAAGTAATGTGCAAATGCAATGTAGCATGATCTGATTTTCTGATTCGTTGATGCAGTTGGCAAAGCTCATCAGTGCTCAACTAGTTGATGCGGAATGGATGGAAAGAAAACACATCCCGAGCTTTGAAACATACTTGAGCAATGCCACCGTCAGTGTTGGGATGCAAGACTTGCTCCTGAGCTCCATCTTCTTCTGTGGCGAATCCATCTCAAAACATCTGATGCAAGAGATCAAGAACTCACGCTGCCTGCAACTGACGTGCTTGATCGCAAGGCTGTGCAATGACATTGGAACATATCAGGTGAGCTTTCCAATCTGTGATCGCTTGATCAACTCACAAGTGATGGTTTCTTTCCAGTTTGAACGAGAGAAAGGCGAAGTTGCCTCAAGCATTACATGCTACATGCGAGAAAACCGGGGCATCACTGAATCCCAGGCCATAGAACACTTGCAAGGAATCATAGATGAAAGCTGGAAGGAGCTAACTGAGGAGTTCTTGACACCCAGCCAGATTCCTCGAAGCATCAAGAGGCTCATGTTTGAAACAGCGCGGATATTCCAGTTCATCTATCCCAAGAAGGACAACTTCAAAGATCCCAGCAAAGCCATGGCGTCTCTCATACAAAATGTGTTGTATAAACCAGCTGAATGAAGGCATGCAAAGATTTAACATCAATTGTTGGCAAAAAGGAATAAAAAATACCTTGAAAATCAGAAGTCAGTGTGACTATTTTCATTCACCACGAAAGTCTTGGAGTCTAGAAATTGTTTCATGTAATTTAGAGTCCACTCTCGGGGCGCACCATACTCTTCTACAAGATGGGAGACGAATGTTTGCACCTCCTTCTCCTAGAACAAGCAGTGTCTCCACTGTAAGTAACGTCACCAGAAGATCACATACCTGTTTGTCATAGCCTTGTGAGATATCAATGTACTGTGATCTAGCAGCTCTAACTTTCTCCTTTATGAAGAGCTCTTGCTCCGGCGTGAGGCCCGAATCTGATGCTCGAAGCTCCGCGACAACCTGAGAGTGTGAAAGATTTGAAGCACAGGTGAAAGATTTCTTTTCTTGCTCGCCTTTTTAAGCTGCTCCAATTCTTGGAGAGCACCGTCTCGTTCTTCGGTGAGACGCAAAGCGACGGCTTCCAGAGACTGCTTCTCTGCCTCGGATCGTTCGCTTTGGGATGCCATTTCTTTCAACCTCGCAACCTGGAGCGCGGAGAATCAGCAAACATTAAGTGGAAAGAAGACTAAACCGATGAACCTCCTGTAAAGCCGAGTCCCTCTCGGTTGCCAGCTGACATGCTAGCACCTCCAGTGCCTCGTTTTGTTGCCTGAATTGTTGGACTTCTTGAGCTAGAGCTTTCTCCACGGAAGAGATTCTCCCCTGCATGGCCTCGACAGCTTTTCTGAGCCCCGACACCTACACTACGAGCACATCATCTCATCCACGGAAAAGAAAGAAATGGAACTGTGATCTACCTCGGAAATTGCAGAGTCCCTCTCCTTGACAAGCTCCATTGCGACCGCTTCAAGAGCCTCCTTCTCAGCAGCCAAGCGGGCGAAATCACTAGCGGCTTGCTTCATTTCTTCCACCTGATGAAAAACTGTCGTTGAGACAACAATCGAAAAGGAACGAGTGGGAACATACTTTGTTCACTGCTGCGTCGCGTTCCTTGGCAAGTTTTTCCAGCGCTTGCACGACAGCCTCGTCCATATCCTGTAAGTTTTTTGCAAGCACTAAATCCACGTAGAAGAAAAAGAAGAATCAATTACGCGAGGAAGAACTACCGTCGTCCGTTGGACGCGTGAATTCTCGCTACTGTCGACCAACTCACTGATGGCCTTGAACGGAGAAGTCGCAACGAGCACATTGTTCTTCCCTTTCAAAGCTCGACTACACACGAACAAAACTCCGTCAAGCTTTCAAGAAAGAAGAAACACAGGAGAATACCAAGCTTTCAAGAAAGAAGAAACACAAGAGAATACCGAGAAAGAAATCTATCTGATCGCTTACCCAGCGATGAGGATCGAGTAGCCCACGCCCACTGCCTGGAGCGCCTCGGGAACCAGCGGCAAGACCTCCAGTGAGCTCAGCACACTGCCTCCAATCGCAAGCCCGACACCGGCAATTCCGCCATACAATGCGAGCTCTCCAGCGCTCTTGTCCTTGAGTCCTTTGCGAAATTCCTCCAAAATCCTCGTTCTGCTGGCTCCAATCTCGCCTTCTACCTCGAGCTTACGCACCTCTTCCTTCTTCTTGCCCGCCGGCTCGTCTTGCAATGAGAGCTTGAGCTCCGCCGGGCCAAGATCCAAGGGCTTGTAATCCGGAGAAGAAGAAGCCGCCGATGACACCGCTGCTCGATCCGGCGCTTTGAATCCATCATCGCCAGTGGCAGCGCACCGCGCATCGGGCTTGCGGAAGAGAGACGATGGGAAGATCAAGGCGGGGTAGCGCTGAGCCACAGAGGCCATCGCCTCTCTCGCTTCTTTCTCCGCCAAGAGAATGTATATCTTGAAAAATATTTTATCTGGAAGCCCAAGAACCCTAAATTCCCGGATGTGGAAGAGGAGTTAATGCGATTTGGGCGCCATCGCAATCGCCATCGCCATTGCTACCGCGATCGATTCTTCAGCACAGAGATCGAAGTCCAGGAAGATCCGGCATTCTTTGCGCAGCTTGTGCGGGGATTTGGCGATTCTAGGGATCTAAGCGCCGGACGAGGGGCTCACGCTCGGATTTCTAGCAGCCAGCACCATGGCAACGTCTTCTTGCTCAATCTCCTGGTGGAGATGTATGGCAAATGCGGCAGCATTGACGACGCGCGCCAGGTTTTCGATTCCATCCGGCATCCCAACGCGTACTCCTGGAATATCATGCTCACGGCGTGCGGTAGAAGCGGGGATTTACCGGCGGCCAAGCGCGTCTTTGATGCCAATCCAGAGCGTGGGATCATCACCTGGACGACCATGGTCGCAATGTATGCCAAGGAGGGGTATCTGGAGGAGTCGCGAGGGTTCTTCGAGAGGATGCCGAGCTGGAGCGTGAAATCTCTCAATGCGATCGCGCAGGCGTATTTGCAAGAGAGCGATCACGAACACGCGATCGCTCTTCTGAAGAGGATGCCGGAGAAGGATCAAATCTCCTGGAACGTTCTAGTTCAGGCAAATGCCCAGCTTGGCCATATGGATCGATCACAGTGGCTCTTCGATAGAATGCCGTTTTGGGATTTGGCGTCATGGACGTCGATGATCACTGCGTACTGCACTGCTGGGGATTATCACACTGCGAGGCTGTTCTTCGATCAGATGCCTGTGAAAGACGTGGTTTCTTTGACAACCATGGTAGCAGCGTATGCCCACAGTGGGCATATGGTTTTAGCGAGAAGGATGTTTGATGGGATTTCTCACAAGGATGCCGTGGCGTGGACGACCATGCTTGTAGCGTATGGAGAAAATGGCGATGTCGGAAAAGCTTTGAGCCTCTTTCAAGCGATGCCGAGGAGGGATATAACATCATGGAACGCGATATCGGCAGCTTATGCCCAAGCTGGGCATCAAGAGGATTCTATCAGGGTCTTTGAAACGATGCCTTGCCGGGATTTGGTGTCTTGGAACACAGCAATTCTGGCTTGCGTGGAGTGTCACTCTGCGGAGGAAGCCAAGAGATTTTTTGATCAGATGCCTCGGAAGAATATCATCTCCTGGACGCTGCTGGCAGCGGGATATGCACAAGCCGGGTATACCAGCGATGCCAAGCTCGCGTTTTGGAGGATGCCGGTTATCACACTCACGTCTTGGAACTCCATGATCTCTGCGTTTGGTCGGAGCAGGGAGGAGCGAGAGGCAAGGCTGCTGTTTGATGCGATGCCTTTCCAAGACACAATCTCGTGGAACGCTATGATCGGAGTGTACGCTGAGAGCGGTCACCTGGAGGAGGCTCGGAGATGTTTTGATCGAATGCCGCGACGAGCACAGATCTCCTGGAACTCCATGATCCAGGCGTATGCTCAGAGTGGTCACCTGGATCAAGCTCTTGCGCTCAAACTCGACATGATCAACGAGGGATTCCGGCTGGACGAGCGAACGTTCACGAGCATCCTGGCGGCTCACGGCCACGCGGGTCTCTTCTACGATGTTTTGGAGAACTTTCGGTCGATGCAGGACGATCACGGCTTGCAACCGGTGGTGGAGCACTATCATTGTCTCGTCGACGTGCTCGGCCGCGTAGGGAGGCTGGGTGAGGCGGAGGAGCTCATCAAAACGATGCCTTTCCCGGCGGATGATGTCTCGTGGACGAGCTTGCTAGGGGGATGCAAAGCTCACAAGGACGGGACTCGTGGGAAGAGAGCTGCGAGAGAGATTTTGGAGCTGGATGGAGAGTGTTCCTCGGCTTATGTTCTACTGTCCAGCATCGCTGCCTCCCGAGATCTAAAGGCGCGCTAAACAATGCACAGAAGAGGAGAGTGATTAGTTGAGGAGGAGACATGGCCAAACGACTTACACAACTTGGAGATGCTTAGCTCTGCCAACTTTTCATTTTGCACACTGTCACCTCTTGAAGTAGAGTTTCTTGTCATATAAACATAGAATATCATGTACTTTTGATAAGGCCGTAACCAAAGCTTCTTAACCTCTCACAAATCAAACAATCAAGTGTCGTCAAGCTAGTACCTGGAGTGTTGCAAGGTCTAGCCAAAGGTGACGAGCAAGGTCCGGATTTCCATGGGAGCAATGTCAATGTGGCGATCGCTCGGCTTTAAAAGTGGACCGCGAACGTGAACAGCGGCAGCATCCTCTACGTTCGGATCAAGTTGCCATTGTAGAGGTTTCATGGAAGCTCTCTCTTGGTTAGCTGAAAGATTGAGCTCCACAACACTTGCAACCTGTGCAAATCCAGTGTTTTCACTATGCAAAGTAAATGAAAACACAAAACCTGTCTCAGGCCAAAAATCTTCTGCAAATCGACGCGCACAACCGTGGACAGTTCGATATCCTCTCCAGCCTGCAAAACAGTTAGAAGGGAGAACTATAAAAACTTCAAACTAATGTTCTACCTCGTACAAATGAGCCAGTCTCAGCAGGACATCCCCGTTTTCCAGTTCCTGGATGTATAGAAACGCGATAAAGTATAGAAGCGCGTTAGCTTTGAGCGAAATTACCTGCAGCGTGATGATAGCTATGTTCTGTGGTAGTTCGTAGCCAGACTCTGTTGCAGAGAATGTTGGATTTCCTATCTTGCCAGTGCTCGAAGACAGCTTCGAGAAAAACATTTCCAGAGGCGAATAAAGCCGCTGGCCTTGATTTCGTCGCCATCTCGCAGACTCCTGTGTTGAGTGTAAACCAAGAAGAAACTTGCCACGAACCTGAATGACAATGCAAAGATAATAGTAATGACTACTAAAATTTGAGAAGATACAGTACCGTCAGGCCTTCACATTCGTTGCTGTCTATGCATATTGTTTCGTTTAAAGCCTCTTGAACACCTCTGTGGTCGTCGTGTAATAAGCGCCTGAAGAAAGCAAGAGGCTTCAAACTATATCGATCGACATCTATATGCATACCTTTGCACCATTAGCTCGATGTCACCATCTTTTAGACTAGAGCCGCCAATTGCTCGGTCCACAAGCACGGAGAACTCCGTATTGTCTTGTTGCAAGTAAATGCCCAGGTTGATCTACATAAGAGGAAAGGTTTTTTACAAAGAGACCGCCACTGATCACCTCACCGGATAGTAGTTTCCCGATATTGGTTCAGTGACATTGAGCTCCCAGTCACTTCTAAAATCTCTTACCTACAGACCACGTTAAAGCCAGGACCTTCAACATGGGAATCCTTACCCGCTTAAGAAAGTCTCGACCGTTCGAATCCGTGTAAAAAATCTTTTCGCTTTCCAAGTCCGTGCTTATTCTGGTAACTATTTCTTTGCCAGCATCACTGGAGTTTACTGGAACTGGTCCGATCTGAAACACATCGAACACGTTAGAAAGCGTTATCAAAGCGAAGGCTCACTGTGTATTCAATTTCAGCATATTGCGCGTCTTTGTAAAGCCTCAGCACCTGAAAAACCAATTGATATATATCTCTTGTGACGAAGATAATCAAGTCCTTACCTGGAATACCCAGGAAGAGAACGTTTGATGTACTTCTTCAACCAAGGAACCTTTTATATAGCTCGAAACCTGTGGATATTGTGTAAGCATACGGAAAATGTTTTCGCACATACCATCTCTTTGCTATCGACGGGGTAGCAGGACGAAGAGTTGGGACGAAACACGTAAGCTCCCGAAGACTACTATCAAGGAATTGATAACCTTTGTATGCAATTTTTAATTACCTGGCCTCGAGCTTCTTCTGTGACACCATCACTTGAATTATACCAGCAATATGACAGCTTGACAGCAGATACAATCTGATATAAGAAATCCAAGAATGTAAATTTCTTCCAAGCTAGAATCTCACACTTACTCCAGATTTACGATCCGTAAACTGTTGAAGCTGTCCACTGGACGAGAACTTAAGCTTGGTTTTAGATGAGGATACTTCCCTTGGGCTTTCATGATTTTTGAAAGAAGAGAGCGATGCACAACCTACATAAACAGACTTGCAACGTGTTGTCCAACCAAAGGAAATAAGCTTACCATGTGTACCGTTTGACGCGCTGATGAAGTAGGAATTAAATCCTAATGGCGGAACAGAAGCTTTGAACACAAGAGTGTAAACGTCGTCATTGCTGGAAGAGTTGCCCGTATAGGCCTTCACATAAATCTCCTTCAGTTTTCTTGTCACACTGTCTAAAGGAATTAGCTGCGACGGAATTGCATTCCCAGTCGAATCTCTGACTTGCAAACGTGTACTTGAAACCTGTAAAGGAAAACGTTGGTTTTCAGAGCTGAAGCCAAAGCATGTCCTGCAACATACCGGAATTCGCACCATCTCTTTACGACTCCAGCCAAGCGTATTGTACAAAACTACTACCTGCGAGAAATGCTAAGAATTCAGCCAACTGGCCAGGGTAACCACTTACCAGAGAAGTGCCATCCTCTAGTTTGGCTTCAGAAGGTGGGCAATAGCTAATATTCAAAAGCAGGCACTAGAGAGGTAGCGAAGACAATATCAGAAAGATACTAAAATCCTGTAAAGTGCATACCTGATCAAAGCTCAGAGCAGATCTGCCACTGATTCCTTTCGGTAAAACGGACAAGTATTTGGAGGACGTTAATCTTTCCCAGATTGGAACAAACCAATTGGTCGCAGTATTAAGCGCGGAGCTGGAGGCCGTTAGGACGGATATGGCTACCTCCATCACCTTCGCAGCCTATGAACATATTTTTCAGAGTCATTTCTTTGTAATATATGACAAGATCAAAACCTTGGAAGCCCCAGTAGCGAGTCTCTTCGCATAGTCATTTGCAACATGTTGTTGCTCGGTCCCAGTTACAGCATCGTGATGTTGGAGGATTGCGAGCGCATCCTCCAGAGAATCGGTGTTGTCTGCAGAAAAATTTCTTCCCACCACAAACTCTAGCTGACGTGCGGCCTAAAAGAAGAAAGAAACGATGAGATGATTATGGTGAATATGTTACCATAAGGTACGCAGACAACCTCCTAACGTAGCCTTTCAGAGCGAGGCGGCTTGAGAAATAACCAGTCCAGTAGCAATGGGAGCAATTCGCGTAGCTTAAAAAAATTCAACGTCGTCAACTAACGGATTCCAAGCATAGCAGACTTACGGGAAAAAGTCCTCGGTTTTCAAAGGCCAGGTGATGTTGGCAGCATTTTTCGAATCTACGTAGATAGATGGAGTAGAGTAAAACACATTAATTCTTCCATCCTGCAGCTATACTGTTAACAAAAAAAACAAAAAAAAGGCGAGAGTATACACACCTTGTTCATATAGTGCACTAGCTTGTCTAGCTGCTTGAACCAAGTATTTGCTTGCTCATAATTAAAGTCTTGACCCATAGTCCACATTATATGATTTGATCGGAACTGCTCACTCTGAAAGTATATACAAGTGTCCTTGATAAACGAAAAAAGAACTCAAATAATTGCCTGTTCTTGAGCACGCTTGACAAACAAGTCAATTCGCTCCTGAAGATTGTAGTCGTATAGAAGAGGATTGTCCTGCCAGCATACAGGTCATTCTCTGCCTTATAAACCAGCCAGCTGAACTTACTTGTATCAAAGGATCATTGGACTTAAAGTCAAAATTCATCCCCTCTGGAGGAGAGTAGTGATTTGCGAGGATACCTCCAAAGATCTGCAATTGAAACTTATAAAACACTGGATTTGGTGTAGGATTTTATACTTGTGAAGACGACGATAATGTTCTGGATCCCTGCCATACAAACTCCATGCCGCGCGTTGCTCGTCGTTTAGCAATGTCTTGGTAATCAGCCCGTGCAAAAAATAAACCATCAAAGCCGACCTGTCAGAAACAAACGGAGAGACGCTTATTTTTCTGCTAGAAGCCGACAGCTGCATCACCTCTGCTCCGAGAAGATAAGCTTGCACAGCTGAATGGCCAAACGGGTCGATCTGCCATCCAATGCGAGGCATTTTGTTAAACTGGGATTTGATAAACCGATGGCCAAGCGTAGTTTGATCGATCATGTCGATGTAGCTAGCACCAGCTTCGTCATGCATACACCACGCCCCGTTACTGTAGCAACAATTATAAGAAAGCTTCGAACTAAAAGAGAAGGAAAAAAAAAGGAGAGAAAAAAGGCTAGCTTACACGAACTCGAGTTGGCCGGACTCAACCATTCGATGCACGATTTTTTGCTTCGCAGGAGTTTGCTCCCTCCACCATCGCTGGAAAAAAGCCTGGGAAACGAAAGCGTTTCAATGAAAAAAAAAAATCAAACACAAAGAAAGAACTGTGCGTAGCTTCGTGAGTGACTTGCCTGTTCAACATAGATAAACTTGCGATCTGGATTGTCCTCCAGGGACTGGATGACAGAGTCGATAATATACTGGACAGCGGCAATCTACAGGAAAAAGGAACTTTACAAAGGAAAAATGCCAGAAATTTGGCCAGCTAGAGTACCTGGATGGAATTGTTGGAGCCAACATAGTACTGATCCACAGTCTTGAGCCATCCCACATCATCGTGCGTGTGCGGCACAATGTGGACATTGATCTTGTGGGGAAGCGGCCCCCCGGAGGTGTTGTAGATCCCAGGCGCAAGGGGAAGAAGAGGCGGCGATCGCCCCAAGAATCGATCCAATCTAGCTGCATCGCGGAGCAAGGTGAGCACGAAGAGGAGGAGGAGCGCAGCGGCACAGCGCCTGGCTGCCCTAGCCCCAATCGCCATCAAATATCACGCACACGCCAAGTCAGCTACATTAGAGTTTAGGGTTTAAGATAGTTTTAACGAAAGTTCCCATCTTTCTCCCCTTGTTTCAAAAGAACATCCGGAACACTATAGCCTCCAACTACAAAGCAGTCCCAAGTTCGGTTCCGCGCTCCAAATTGCCTTGGCGATTAAAAGGAGTGAGGGTCCCTCTGGGTTCGAACCTGGGACCGACTCTACAAGAGTATCTGAACGCAATAATCTTAGTTTGGTTAAGCCTTAACCCCTGAAGAAGTATGGAGATGCCGGGTATCGATCCCAGTGCCTCTCGCATGCTAAGCGAGCGCTCTACCATCTGATCTACATGCCCTTTTCCAAGGGTAAAAAAAGCAAGAAGCTCGTGACAATTCTTCTGACGAAGCATCCAATGAAATATAACTTCGATTGTAGTGTTCCATGGAATTTGATAGATGAAGCAAGCTACCAGGTAGAAACTTCACCCAATGCCGAGAGTTTCAGAGGCGGCAACCATCGTCCTCTTCCTCTTTTTCCTGGCAGTAGTTTGGTTCCAGCACGAGAAGATTAAGTTTTTCATCTCCAGGAACGAAAGAAGCAACCACAGTGCCGCGAGCGACGCAAGTTGTTCTCGAGCAAACTTCTATAATCTGCTGCCTGCACGAGAAGACCATGGTAAGTGCAAGAGCCGGTTTGAGCAGCATCGCTACGGTAAGAGAGACTGGGAATACGTACCATCGGAGTATCTCATTGACAGGCTTCGTACTTACGAGGAGTTCCATGCTCGCTGCACGAGAGGTAATCGCCAGACCTGGTTTAACTCGAGCACGGCCACGGAGAACAGTGATTGCAAGTTCATCCTCTGGCTGGGTAACAGCGGCCTCGGGAACAAGATGGTGTCGATCGCTGCGACTTTTCTCTACGCCTTGCTTTCCCGTCGAGTTTTGTTGATCGATCCGGCCGAAGACATGGAGGCGCTCTTCTGCGAGCCGTTTCCTCGGAGTTCCTGGTTTGCTCCCCGGGACGTTCCACTCGAGTTCCTCAGGAGTGACGAGTTTAGGATCAGCTTTGATAAGTGTCACCCTGGTACTGCGAAGTTTTCGCGGCACGCATACATCGAGATTATGAACGGTTACGACAGTATCGGTGACAAGTTCTTCTGTGAGAAACAACAGCAAAACATCAGTGATCAGTTTCCATGGTTGACGATCACCACAAACCTCTACTTCGTCCCAAGCTTATACTATGTTCCAAGTTTTAGAACCGAGCTAGACAAGCTCTTTCCAAGGCAAGAGGCGGCAGTGTTCCAACACTTGGTGAAGTATCTCTTCCATCCCTCAAACGCTGCCTGGGATAGAGCGACGAGATTTTACGATACTTACATGGCTGGCTCGAGCAAGCTTGTCGGTGTCCAAATGAGAGTGTTGCCCAATTTCCAGGATCTATCTCGTAGAGCGCAAAATTTCTCGGATGCAATGGTCCAGTGTCTCCTCCAGAGCAAGCTGCTCCCTGATGTTTCAGTGGCATCGAACTTAAGCGCTTCTGGCAAGATCATAGGTGTTGTTGTGGCATCACTCGACGAGCAGTACTTCGATGGTCTTCGAGAAATTTACGTCAGCTCTCCCACCGTAGATGGTTCCTTGGTCCGAGTTTTCGCTCCAAGTAAGGAGCGATGGCAGCAGACTAATGACCGTAACCACGACGAGAAGGCCCTTGCTGATATGCTTCTTCTCTCATTCTGTGCCGAGCTGGTCACGAGCCCCGGCTCCACGTTTGGATACGCCGCTCAAGGCCTGGGTGGAGTCAAGCCGTGGCTCTTGAATGAGAAAACCTGCTCCAAGTTGGACTCCACAGAGCCTTGCTTCCACGCGAAAGTGTTCTACGGCTGCAATTGTCATTCTTCAAGCGAGGCAAAGTCCGTCCAGAACAATGCCCGGAGTTGTCCAGACGTGCCATGGGGACTTCAGACCTCGCCATCCCAGAAAACTGGTTCATAGGACCTGTGATGTTGCACAAAAATCAGGCAAGAAGGAATAATTTTGGAAGATGAGCTCACCATTTTGCTCGAGATTATCCACCGCAGAGAAGTAAAGAACTTGAAGTGAATAACGTACCATTTCAAATAACCTTAGGTCGGGTTATTCATGATATCTCTTTGGTGTGGCTGGTTTCTTCTCGGAGAGGTTCCACTTTTCGCTGAAATCCTAGATATTTACAGTGAAGGGAAACAGGACAGTGAAATTTGGCAGCGCTCCCTGAAATGTGTTTATCGATAAAAGGGACAATTAATTCATAAAATTTGTTATATATATAGATATATATTCCGCACATCATACTCCTCTTGCACATTGACCATATACCCGCCTGCGATTGGATGGCTATAAGCCTCCACTTCTTCTATCAAAGTAATTGAAGGAAGCATCAAATAACGTGGAAATTGACTACGAGCACTATTCATCACCACTGCTGCTCATGGACGACGAGCTCCACCTCAATCACGGCAATAAGTTTGATAGGATTTTCGGGTCTGCACAAGTGGCTTTCGCTCACAAAGAGATCCTGCCAGCATTGCTCCATAAGGAAGCTATGAAGGTCAAACACGTATGCATCCATGACTGGAAATTTGCAGGTCAAGCATCATGACAATCAGTATCCAAAACTGTTCAGCATTTTGGATTGCATCTCCAATTACCAAATGGCAAAACTAGAGGTGGTAGACAAATGGCATGGTCGGGGCTGGGACACAGGTTGTAGAGCTTACTGAGCTCGGAGGCATTGAATATCCCAGGTGTAAGATAGAAGACCTCAAGTTTCTAGGGTGCTTCAAAGGAAACTCGGGAAATAGTGCTCATAGTGATTATATATAGCGTTTCTTTAACCCTTTTAAGGGTTTTTTCTTGGGAAAATATTCCTTGTATATTCTAAAAAAGAGAATATACTTGTATATACCTTATAAAATATATAATATTTTTAAATAAATTTTAAATTAATAATAATAATAATAATATTTAAAATATTTATAACAAAGTTACTTTTTGCCTTACACATGATAATAGAAGTATGATTTGATCAATTTGAATTTCTCACTTATCTAGCTATATGAAAGGCATGTTATAGATCAAGAGCAATATAACTGCCCTTTTACCTGGCTATAAATATCAATAGCTAATGTGTTGAGACTTTCACCCCTTTGAAAGATCTTGAACTTCTGGCCATCTCTTGGAACAGTTAGATAGCCAAGCTTTTGCCTCTCTAGCAATTCCACTCCCACTACCTAAATTGGTAATCTATTGTTATGCACCAAGTAGAAATGCTCACCCTTAGCTCAATCACAATGTCATGGATTGTGAAGGAGAAAGAATTTACAACCTCTTGCTCATCAATTTATGAGACCATTTTGGTTTAAATCTTAGTCCCTCAAATTATTCAATCTCAATTTTCTAGTTTGAAAAGTGCTAATTTAGTCCTAAATGCAAAAAACAAATGACATGGGGTAGTTGTTTTTAGCTAAAAACTGAAAAGGCAACATTTAAGACTGAATAGTCTTGTCTTATGGTAGTTGTTTTTTAATAAACACCTTCTAAAAAGCATTTTCTGGCTGAATATGTGACATTGCCCACTTTATTATTGAGGCCTTTTGACAAAAAATGGATAATAACTTAATCCATTAGTTAATGTAAGTTTTTTTTAGCAATTCAATCAAGAACTAGTATAAAAAACAATCCATAAGGGTAGGGAAAAAACCCATGAATATGATTGCACCCCGTTTTTCAATTAATTAAAAGTTGTATTCTTGGGTTCAAATAGTATTGGGTAAGATGTGGGAAATCTAAATTCAAGGATTTATATTTGGTATAAGAGGGGTTTTAAGTTTGACTCTATTTGTCATATTAAAATTACATATAGTAGATCCAATTTACTTTTGATTGAGCTCGATCCGAGTGATAGGGTGTCAAAAGAGTGGGGCTCTCAAGAGAGTTGTAGCTTTTAACTTCCATTCACAAGGGCGTAAACTTGCATGATAAATTGTAAGTAACCAAAGAGAATGAGTCGAGAGACAATCTATAAGGGTTTAAATATATAAAGTTTTTCATACATATCACTAATAATAGGGGGATTCAACTCTAGCCCAACTAAAAATCACTTAACTTTTGCTAAGGGATTTATGATTAGCTAGGAATTAGGTAAACTCTTTTAGTTATATCTCAATAAGTGTAATGTGTGTTACATTCCAAGGGTGAGTATTGTTGTATAAAGATTATATAGCTCTTGTATATAGCAGCTACATTCTCATGTGAAGATGAAGAAACCCATAGAAGATGGTTCTCCTAACTATATTAACTGATCCAATTAAAGAAAAAGAGAGAAGTTTTCTGATTTGTATAATTATAAAGATTTTAAATAATATTTATAGAATTAAATTTTCAAATATTTTTAAAATAAAATTTATATTTTCCAATTTATTATTTAGAATAAACTGAATTATTCATTGATGTGGCTACTTGACTGAAAACCCTTAAAGTGGACAGACTCCCTTAAAATCATTACTTCTCTAGCATGTAATATTATGGACTTTGGGATTGTGAAATGCAATTGGAAAATCCTAAGTTCATTAGCTAATGCTCTTTAGAACTTGGTATGTGGCCTTTTTAGCTTGAGACTTAAGCTCTAATATAGTGTTGTGGTGGACAAATACTTCTTTGACTCCTTACTCAACTCCATATTGCAACACTTAACACTAGCCAATGTAGTAGTTATTTAGATAAAGAATAGAGCACACTAAAAGCATCTCTAAGTACACTCTTTATATACTCTATAGTGTCTCATGATATTCTAGTGTCCTGTCCTTTAATGTTCTCTTGGCTGTACCCAACACTCCCCCTCAGCCAAGAAAGCCAAAGCATAAGACACTCCTAGTCAGCCAAGATAGCTATAGTGCAAAACAAAGAATTGTAAAAATATGCTTGGCTACCCACTTCTCCCCCTTAACCAAGTGTTTTCCTCATTCCAAGCATGTTTTTG